CGAAAACATTCGATTAGGGGTCCTAATTGTAATAAAGTTCTATTTATATTCTACTCGAGATGCTTAAACAAAATTGCTAAGCATTGTATTTCAATGATAGTTCGTAGTCTCAAATAAAAAATTGTTTTCCAACATAACTGTTCGAGCTAAGAATTTCAGTAGCCTTTGCAGTCGATAAATTTCCATTAAATCGCCTCCTATTTGCCAAAATTAACCAATACGATAGATTATTGAAACTGTTGGGTGGTAACTAGAGCAATTGAATCCGCGAACATGCATCTTACTTTGAATTTTTTAAATCGAGCCAATTGTGTATACATTTACCAGTGATCCGCTTCAAACGGAGAAAAGCCAAAACAGTTAATGAGATAAGTGAAGTGGCTTCTTAGAAAATACTTTGAAGTTGTCAAAATTCCAGGTTATGAATCTATGCAGCAGTCGTGGACTAGTCTGTTGGGGGTTATTGTGAAGCCCAAGCAAAACAAAAACAGCCACTCATAAAATAGAATGTATGAAGACGAGATAAACAGACACTTTTAATTTCGCATTAATGAACGAAGAAGTGTGATGTTTTGGATCCGATGCCATATTTAAATATTATTTCTGCAAGATGAATTTTGAACGAAAAAGAACGCATACATTTTAACCAATTTATTTATATCAAATGGCAGGCTTTATACTAGTCATCATTAGCTCTTTAGTTGGCTTCGGGACATCAAAGTCACAAAAGGTCGAGAGGTGGAACAGAAGTGTGGTTCACAGATGTTAAGGAGAAAGACAGACAGACACAAAGGTAGAGTGTAGGGTAAGGTGAGTACTGTGAAGTGGCGAATATGACATAAAGTGGGGTCATGGTAGTTTGAAGTCGGAAGTCAACTGCCAGTTAAAAGGCATTTTCGCCGTATGAGTATACATTGCCCAGGGTGCACCACGTGGTGGTAGGTTTTTCATACCCCCCTCCCTCTCCTATTTTATCAAATTTCTGTTCAGTAAAGTGGCGATTAGATCAGAGCCCGGGGAAATTTAAGGAAGCAAACAGAGAAAAGATCGCCATCAAGACACTGCAAATGGTTCCCAATACCACTGATTGATGAGCAGTCGGTATTCCTTGGGGATATTTCAATGGATATTCAATATTGAAAGGCAGATGGCATAAATCCAAATTGACACCCTAAAGGAAAGAGCACCTAAGATGATACCTTCCAGCCTCAATAACACACACACATAACAGTCTTCGACGTAGAGAAAGAAATATTTACGCACTAACAGGTAGAAAACAAAACATGTTTGTCGTAGAAAATGGAGACCATAGTTTTAGGCCTCGCTGGCCTACATCCTAGACGCTCCCAACAGACATGTTGTAAAGCCCTTTCGGGTTCCATTCACTTCGCCCTACATTCGCGTCAGTGTGATTAGAGAGAGAGAGGAATGCCCTTTGATTTTTAATTAGATTTGGCATTTAAGCGGTAAGTGAGAGAGACGCCGATCACCGTATTATTAAAGGCAGGTCCTTTTGGAAACAGAATGTCCACTTAGCTTTCTGCTGTCGATAAAAAATTTTTTAAATTAATAATTATGGGAAACGAATATCCTTGAAAGTGTTTTTCTTCCGATTAATTGGGTACCATAATTCAGTAGATTTTAATCATTGTGACTCGCAATTACCCATTGCTGTTGAAAGGAAGTTTTAAGTTCTGGTTTTCAAGAAAGAATATTAAAGAAATTTACAGAGTTTAAGAAAGAATCGATAATATGATGATTGAATTTCGTTGTTTATACAAAACTCTTTTTATTAACTGAAAGCAATCGATTGATAATTAATCGGATCGGAAAAAAAAGATGTTAACAGAGCTCGCATTGAGTGAACTGAGGTAAGCGAATTTTGTGTTTAAATTGCCCGAATATAGCTATACGAAGATAATATGAACCAAGTGACATGCTAGATCACAAAATTTAATTTGTTAATTAACCATGGGATGGGCATTAAGTACACGGGCTTATTCAATAACACGGGAATCAAATTACAAAAATTGAGTTCTAGAACAATTGAAAATACAAAGCAAATTCGGATATTTGGATAGAAGTAAAGGAAAAAATTACTTTTCATCTCCTGCTCTCTTTGCCATTTCATTCACCCCTAGGATATTTTGCAATTTGACGTTTTCAGATGCCATATATTCGTTAATCTCCTCCCCCCCCCCCAAATTGGGAGTGTGCGATAGACTTACCTCCATGTGGTGCACCCTCGGCAACGTATACTCATACGGAGAAAAAGTCTATAAATGGCCAGTTGACTCCTGACCTCAAGCTACCATGACCCCACAGCATGTCATTTTCGACCCCCTTCCACAGTACTTACCTAATCTTTTCCCAACCTTTGTGTTTGTCACTTTTATGTCCCCTTCGCCTCTCTGTGAAGCCCAAAGCCATCTAAATGGCTAACGATGACTATCATAAAGCTTGCAATTTGTTACAAATAAATATACGGAAATTGAACTTGCTTATACATAAACATTGAAATGTTTTAAATACCGAAATACGCTGATGTAGGAAAAGCAATATAAAAGCAAGCGATTGCTTCATACTCCTATATTTGTAAAAAGTTTCCCCACTTATGTCCTTTTACTTTGATTTAAGTGCAGAGTTTGCCCACTTCCGTTACTCATTTTCGAGGTCATAGTACACTTGGTGTCATAGCCTGAATGATTTTATGGAGCCTTATTCATACACGATAAGACACAAGACAAATTACACTCAAAATCAATTACCCGTTGTATATTTACTTATAAACATGAAGTCTAATGAGGATGCTTGGGCGATTAGATGATAAAGTTAGATTAAAGCTGCCTCGTTACGCGAAAGATGATCGTTGTAATATGAAATGGGCAACCATGTGAACAACACTTTTGAAGCAATAAAAAAAGCTAGAGAATGACTATATTTTCGGTCACGGTTGAGTGGGGAGAACTCACTTCCTTTTAAATTTATTATAAGTACTTTTAAAAGTGTCAACACGTGAAAATTTGATTCGGCAGTAACAATGGTACCGTTACTGAAATCCAAATTACGATAATTACCATAGAAATGGAATTGAACTACAATAAAGGAATAGTACTTTATGGTAAATATTGAAGAAAGTGCATTTTAGAAAGTTTAAAGTTTAATTAGAAATTTCAAAATCTACCAATTTATTTTCTTAAATGGTCCCATACTATTAAGAAGACTAATCTCATGAAAATTTTTATCATTCCCTAACATATTGTCATTTGAAAGTCCAAGCACTGATGTTATTGCTGATCTGTTCAGTATCTATTTTAATTAACTAATTTTTCATTTATATGAATTATGAAAACTTTGCCTCTGACTCGTCCGTTTCTAAATAAATTTAAAACCGGGATTTTAGTTGATGTGGAATAATGACGATAATCCGGAAGTCCTCGGAAAAGTTTTGGACATTGAATGCGGCAATAGGACTCTCAAAAGAAAACTAAGCTGTAGCAGATAGGAAGATTATCGCATCCAGTCAGAGGCACTAACAAGAAGAAAGGTGTTATGGCTAGTCATAAAGATACCAATCAGTAGGGATAGTCAATGCATGAAGATAAGGAATGATATAGTTCCCAGAAGTTAAACGCGAAAGGGTTGTCAATAGGAATAGGTTTTCTCCAGCAATTAGTCATAACGAGGGAACAGTACCTAACGGATATGGATGACATTTATTGCTAAAAAATACACATAAATATTATTACTTATTTAATGTGAGCTGGAATGAAATCAAGCGAGCTCCACTTTGTTTAACTAACATCACTTGACCAATAAGCTGAAGTTGCCAAGACCTTGAAATTAGTGAAATTAGATATTTGTCATTGGCACCGGTGGTTCAGTGGTGGAGTGCTCGCTTGCCACGCGGGCGACTAGGGTTCGATTCCCGGTAGGTACTGAACATCTCTCTTGCTATGCTCGCAGTCCTAGGGGGGTGTGTACATAAGCGAATAATAATGCGGAGTCGGCAGCTGCACCTGCGTCCGATTTATTGTTAATGTTAGTGGTGAATGCCTGCGGGTGCACTATTGACGTTGCGTGAACAGGGGTGTGTGATAGATTTACCTCCACGTGGGGCACCTTGGGTAACGTATACTCAAATGTCTATAAACTGGCATTTGACTTCTGACTTCAAACTACCATGACCCGAATGAAATCTCGAAATTAATTAATGCACAACCTGAGAACCTTTTATCCCCTATATAGATTGCTATTTCTCTAATATCCCCAACCCCTGACACATATTTGGCTGCTACTCTCTTTCTTGCGCTTGTTATTTTCCTAATATGAAAAGTGGTAAAGCATTTCTACTACATTGTGAGTTAATATTATGATATTCACCTACTTTGTATCAATTGTTCCAAATCCATTTAGTCAATCACGCAGAAATCATAGTGTTGCAGTTGGGGAAAAATGAACTGAAATGACTGGCTGATCCTAGTCTCATTGACAATCTTTTCAGAACTTAGTCAGATGTTAAAATTTGTCGTTACGGTTTTGCGCTTTGTCAGATTCCAAGCACCTGTTTCGTCGTTTTAACAAAATGCAATTAAGAAAAATCGTACAGATGCGAACAGTCCATAGAGGTGTTAATTTGATTCAAAATTTGAGAGTCAAGTTGGCTCATCCCAATTAAAACGAAAATACCACTAAGTAGAGAGCAATAGCAGTTGGAATAAGTTAACGCCCGCGAGCTAAAACGCATACACGCTGCTTTCTTGCATAAAGCAGAGATAGAGAGAGAGAGCCGAAAACACATGGTCAGTCAGTCGGTCTGCACAACAACCGGACAAGCTAACGGTCTGTTGGGAGGATTGGGTGGTTGAAGGAGCAAAAATACCAAAAAAAATACACTTTCCTCCTCCTCCTCCTAGGGACGCAGTGGAATCAATAGAAAAAAGAAGTGGTTGCATATTAGCAGAGAGAGAGAGAGAGAGAGAGAGGAGTGAGTGGGACTGATGTGTGGGGGTGAGCTTTATTCGCGACTGAGCGAGAAAGAGAAGGTGGATTTCTTTTTACCGGCAGTAGCTCCTTTGGAGTGCAGCTTTTTCCTAGGCATATTTACCTCTTCTCCTCCTCCTCCTCCTCTAAATGCTCTTTATCTCGCCGTTCTTCTCCTTCTCTTCCTTATGCATGCATGGCTGCGCTACACTTATTTACATGTCCTAACACCGACTTGTGGATGGGCAGGTTTTGGAGTTCCCTTGAGTTTAATGACTTGTTCGCAGTCTGAGTCGGATATTGAGCACTCAAATCATGTTATGCCGTTGGGTTTTATTTTTCAAAATAGTCGAGTAAATAACGTTTCGCTTTGCGGTCAGCATAATTTACATTGGCTGAAGGATCGGCGAAGATGGTTTGATTTTCCAGTGGCGACAATCAATCATGGTACTCGATATGAGAGAACGAAAAGATCATAATGAGTACCAAAGGGCTCAGCTTTATTTATCACACTGGTTCTACGCTTACCCAATCTATCTATAATGTTTCCTTTGATCAGACAAGAAGTTATATCGGTAATCAATAAGTTAGGAAAAAACTAGTATAGTTTTTCAAAGGCAATAAACTTGCATTGCCTTTCTATTTGCTGAAATGATTTAGAGGGGGGGGGGGGCGAGGAGCAACATTTGAATTTATTTAAAAGTTTTTCGAATTACCGTATCTCTTCAGTTACCCTTGTTTCGACAAATATTGAAAATGATCAACCCTGAAACCTGAACGGCCCATACTTAAATATCCAAGATAACAGGAATAAATAAAGGTCTTGTTTACTTTATTATCTACGACACCTGTTTCCTACATTTGAAATAAGCTATTCCACGGAAAAAACATTAATGCGAACTTCGATAATATATATTTGTAGTGAAATTAATTTAATAATCGAAATGAAGTAGGAAGAAATATGAATGAAGAACACCACGAGCGTGCTTCTTTAAAATCAAAAGCGAATAAGTATGGCCTCAAGATCATTTACTTAATTCATTATTGAAAATTTTAATGCAATTACTCAACAAATAATGCCTAACGAATACTTACAGTCGACACTTTTTGTAGCAAAAAGTGATATAAATGAGGGACCGTTTAGTCAACATCACTTTTCTCAAATAAATAAGATGAAAATAGCAGTTTATGAAATTGTTAAAACCTATACATTTTACTTAATTGCTTTTGATTTACTTGAACAGAATTATAATAAGCTTTAGTATGCCTAGATCGTTTCTGGGACAAATGAACGGATTACGAATTCGTATTTATTAGACACAAGCTATTTTGGCGAATTCTCCAGATACTTGTTCAAGCGCATGCTTATTACGAAATAATTTATTTATTTATATCAAATGGCAGGCGTTATGATAGTTATCATTAGCCCTTTAGTTGACTTTAGGCTAATCAAAGTGAAAAAGTCGAGAGGAGGAGAGGAACAGAAGAGTGTTTCAAAGATGTAAAAAAACAGACACAAGGGTCGAGAGTAGGGTAAAGCGAGTAGTGAAGAAGTATTCGACTATGACATACCGTGAGGTCAGAAGTCAACTGCCAGTTAATAGACTTTTTTGCCGTATGAGTATACGCTGCCCAGGGTGCACCCCGTGGAGGTAAGTCTATCGCGCACCCCATTACGAAATAAAGATTTGGGAAAATTAATAAATTGGAAGAAATGAATTCAGTAAATGCTTATTAGGCTTACAATTTTACTCCCACAAAGGTGCCTCCTTCCCCAATAATACCGGAATTACCCAAGTCAAGTGAACAAAAGATAGGGCTTCTAAGCACTGTCAAAATGTGACTCGTCACAAAACCCTCAGTAATGAACTCAATTGACAAAAAGAAAACCCAAAAATTCAAAACTAAATGCATATGAATAAAACGGTTTTTTTTAATTTTGATATCGCTCAGCTTTCGACGCAAACCCAGGTATCTCGCACCAAGAATGTTGAAATGGCAGAGATTTAGGCTGTCAGAAAAGGAAAAGATCTACTGTTCGTGAAATAACTCTCAAAAAACACAATAGTATTGGTGACTACACATTTTCCTGACAAATTATATTACCTAAGATGGGGTGTGCGATAGATTTACCTCCACGTGGTACACCCTGGGCAACGTATACTCATACGGCAAAAAAGTTATCCCTGGGTAACGTATACTCATACGGCAAAATCTATTTGTGCGCCCTGGGCAACGTATACTCATATGGCAAAAAAGTCTATTACCTACGCCCTGGGCAACGTATACTCATACGGCAAAAAGTCTATTAATATGGCTATTGACTTCTGACTTCAAACTACCATCACCCCATTGTATGGCAGTGACTTCTGACCCCACTGTATGTCATATTCGACTAAGGCAGTTGACTTCTCACTTCAAACTACCATCACCTCACTTATGTCATATTCGACCCCTTTCACAGTAATCATCTTACCTTACTGTGTCATATTCGACTACTTCCACAGTACTCACCTCACCTACAGTTGACTTCTCACTTCAAACTACCATGACCCCACTGTACGGTAGTTGACTTCTGACTTCAAAGACAAAAAAGTCTATTGATCGGCAGTTGACTTCTGACTTGCAAAAAGTCTATTGATCGGCAGTTGACTTCTGACTTCAAACTACCATCACCCCACTCTATTACTTTAACGGTACAAGTCTATTAATCGGCAGTTGACTTCTGACTTCAATTACCATGATCTATTAACTGGCAGTTGACTTCTCTATGTCATATTCGAAGTCTATAAACCGGCAGTTGACTTCAAACTATCGGCAAAAAAATTCTATTAACCGGCAGTTGACTTCTGACTTCAACGCAAAAAGGTCTATTAACTGGCAGTTGACTTCTCACTTCACAAAAAAGTCTATTAACCGGCAGTTGACTTCTGACTACTCAAACGGCAAAAAAGTCTATAAACCGGCAGTTGACTTCTGACTGAAAAGGTCTATTAACTGGCAGTTGACTTCTGACTTCAAATAAAAGTCTATCAATCGGCAGTTGACTTCTCACTTCAAACTAAAGTCTATTACCTGGCAGTTGACTTCAAACTACCATGAGTAAGTCTATTAACTGGCAGTTGACTTCTGAGTTCAAACTATCATGACCCCAAGTCTATTAACTGGCAGTTGACTTCTCACTTCAAACTAAGATCTATTAACTGGCAGTTGACTTCTCTATGTCATATTCGTTATATTAACTGGCAGTTGACTTCTCACTTCAAACTACCCGACTCAATAAAAAAGTCTATTATTCGGCAGTTGACTTCTGACTTCAAAGCGGCAAAAAAGTCTATAAACCGGCAGTTGACTTCTCACTATCGGCAAAAAAATTCTATTAACCGGCAGTTGACTTCTGACTTCAACGCAAAAAGGTCTATTAACTGGCAGTTGACTTCTCACTTCACAAAAAAGTCTATTAACCGGCAGTTGACTTCTGACTACTCAAACGGCAAAAAAGTCTATAAACCGGCAGTTGACTTCTGACTGAAAAGGTCTATTAACTGGCAGTTGACTTCTGACTTCAAATAAAAGTCTATCAATCGGCAGTTGACTTCTCACTTCAAACTAAAGTCTATTACCTGGCAGTTGACTTCAAACTACCATGACAAGTCTATTAATCGGCAGTTGACTTCTGACTTCAATTACCATCAAGTCTATCAACCGGCAGTTGACTTCTGACTTCAAACTACGTCTATCAACCGGCAGTTGACTTCTCACTTCAAACTACCAATCAGCCCGACTGCTTGTCATATTCAACCCCTTCAACAGCACTCGCCCCACTGTATGTCATATTCGACTACTTCCACAGTACTCGCTGACTCCATGTCATATTCGATCATTTTCACAGTACTCACACAAACCGGCAGTTGACTTCTGACTTCAAACTACCATGACCAGATCTATTAACTGGCAGTTGACTTCTCTATGTCATATTCGAAGTCTATAAACCGGCAGTTGACTTCAAACTATCGGCAAAAAAATTCTATTAACCGGCAGTTGACTTCTGACTTCAACGCAAAAAGGTCTATTAACTGGCAGTTGACTTCTCACTTCACAAAAAAGTCTATTAACCGGCAGTTGACTTCTGACTACTCAAACGGCAAAAAAGTCTATAAACCGGCAGTTGACTTCTGACTGCATGTGGCAAAAAAGTCTATTAATCGGCAGTTGACTTCTGACTTCAAGCTACCGTGACCTCACTGTATGGCATATTCGACCACTTCCACTGTGCGGCAAAAAAGTCTATAAACCGGCAGTTGACTTCTCACTATCGGCAAAAAAATTCTATTAACCGGCAGTTGACTTCTGACTTCAACGCAAAAAGGTCTATTAACTGGCAGTTGACTTCTCACTTCACAAAAAAGTCTATTAACCGGCAGTTGACTTCTGACTACTCAAACGGCAAAAAAGTCTATAAACCGGCAGTTGACTTCTGACTGAAAAGGTCTATTAACTGGCAGTTGACTTCTGACTTCAAATAAAAGTCTATCAATCGGCAGTTGACTTCTCACTTCAAACTAAAGTCTATTACCTGGCAGTTGACTTCAAACTACCATGAGTAAGTCTATTAACTGGCAGTTGACTTCTGAGTTCAAACTATCATGACCCCAAGTCTATTAATCGGCAGTTGACTTCTGACTTCAATTACCATGATCTATTAACTGGCAGTTGACTTCTCTATGTCATATTCGAAGTCTATAAACCGGCAGTTGACTTCAAACTATCGGCAAAAAAATTCTATTAACCGGCAGTTGACTTCTGACTTCAACGCAAAAAGGTCTATTAACTGGCAGTTGACTTCTCACTTCACAAAAAAGTCTATTAACCGGCAGTTGACTTCTGACTACTCAAACGGCAAAAAAGTCTATAAACCGGCAGTTGACTTCTGACTGAAAATCAAAAAGTCTATTAATCGGCAGTTGACTTCTGACTATTTCCACAGTAGCTCACCCCACTGTATGTCATATTCGACCCCTTCCACAGTACGCCACCACCCCACTGTATGTCATATTCGACCCCTACCACAGTACTAACCCCACTGAATGCCGTATTCTACCACTTTTACAGTATCCATCACCCACACTGTATGTCATATTCGACCCCTTTCAAAGTACTCATCTTACTTTAACGGTACAAGTCTATTAACTGGCAGTTGACTTCTCACTTCAAACTAAGATCTATTAACTGGCAGTTGACTTCTATGTCTATTAACTGGCAGTTGACTTCTCACTTCAAACTACCAAATAAAAAAGTCTATTATTCGGCAGTTGACTTCTGACTTCAAAGCGGCAAAAAAGTCTATAAACCGGCAGTTGACTTCTCACTATCGGCAAAAAAATTCTATTAACCGGCAGTTGACTTCTGACTTCAACGCAAAAAGGTCTATTAACTGGCAGTTGACTTCTCACTTCACAAAAAAGTCTATTAACCGGCA